GTACATATGGAAAGAGTCTGTTCCAGACTCCATTTGTCATTTGCCGAAACTCAGACTCTGGCACAAGATCGGGAACGTTGGAAGCCCTCTTTGACGCGTTTGCCTCCGCGACCCGAACGGTGAAGCGGCAGTGGAAGATGAAGATGAACGATTATCGTCTTTAACTCTTGCTGGTTGTTCCGTTTCTGGACATGACGGGGCTGAGATACTTTAACTGATCCGCCACCTTAAGCAGTTCATCTAATTGTTCCTCTATTAGGCCATCTGAGGCAGATGGATTCCTCATTACGTTTGGCCTTTAAATGTTAAGGAAGAGGCCGGCGTAGCAATTGTGTTACATCCGGAATCTGTGACAGAGCCCGTTTATCATACAGCTCACCACGACTGTATCATTTGGGATGCTTTGGACTGTTCCTTCCCTCTAAAATGAGAATTTCGTCAGCACTGTTTCGGAGAAGAAAATTGAGAATATGTCGACTGGCGAAAGTGAAAGCGCAACTCATTTGGAAACTGCTCAGACGTTCTTTTTCAACTCTGACAACAGACACACTTCCTGCATGCATCTCTTCAGAATGGAAACTATGTGTTCGTTTATCCCGTAGGATTTCAGTATTTTCCACATCTTCAGGCGATGTAGTGAATCAAATGCAGCTTTAAATTGCGCTAGCTGGCAAACCAAACCAATGAAATCGTCACCACTGCTCATTGACCCCGTGCAGATGAAAATTTGGTTAATACAGGAATATTCCATCCGAAAGCATGCTTGATTTGGAGGCAATCTGCAGCTAACTGCCTGCATTAGCCCTTCGAAGATTATCCATGATAATTGGAATAATCGATTTCTTGACCCTCTTAAAACATCAGGACAGTCGTTTTACACTTCCATTTAATACAACAATTGGAGGTACACATTTGACGAACAGGGCGTAGAGATTCTCTATCATTCAAGTTCGCCTTTCTTAATTAACTTCGGAGGAATTCGATCCACTTAATCGGCCTTCTTCCCTCTGAGGTGTTTGAAGGCTTATAGAGTTTCTAGTTTTGCGCCAGTGTTGGCAGAAAGTTCACTGTTGGAAATGACAAATTTGGAGGATAGCAGTTGAGTAGCTGCTGGAAATGATCAGCCGATTTTTTAAGCATTCTTTTCGACCTCCCAATGGCAGAACCTTATAGTCTTGGATAAGGATTGATCATATCTCCTGTTTACTGGATAACTTTCATACCCGCTTCAACACTGTTCACCAGTCGCAATTTTTGGTTGTCTGATCGGTTTCCCTAATTTACCACTCCAGCCAAAGTTTTCTGTCTCGCTTGTAGCTCTGGTTGACTGCAGACGGGATGGTGATGAGCTGCCTTCGATGGTGCAGTAGGGTTCTGCAAGCACTCTTTCTTTGCCCAATTCCTTTGCACTTTAAGGGCCAGGTTTTTCTTCGTAATTCTGAACGGTTTGGCCATTCTCTACCCCGTCCCAACTGCAGTTTTCGCGGAGAAAATGATGGCATCTTTGATGAAATCCCCTTAAGTTTCATCGACACGGTTATTTTCTCACTGGGCACTAAAAGTTTCGCTAATATAACTGTCTATCTACCTTCGGTGAGTCGATTACACCGCTTCGTCATTCATTGGCCTGTATTTTAACGAGACGACGTAGATGCGACCCGGCTAATTTTGGGCGACGTTTAGCCAGATCAGTGGTGATATGATCCAATGCATGCGCCACGCCTGGCGTGAGTTTCGAGTACGGGCTGTGCTGTTTGTGGTTGATGATGAATGGTCTAGCTCGCAGGGTGTTTAGGCTTGCATCAGGGGACAACCAGGTGGTTTAGTGAATTCGCCTGTGAAGAAAAAAGCTCCTGACTATTAAACAGTTTGTCGCTTAGAGGCCTAATTGATGTTAGCCATTTTCATTCGCGTTTTTGATACCGTGAAGGCATGACCATGTGTTGTACTCGGCGCCCACCTTCGAGCTGAGATCGTCTGTGACAGTTTTGACGCCATTGCGTGACTAGCCACTTGCAGCCAACTGCAAGCAGTCATAGAAAGCGTATTTGTCGTTGTTACTCAACATATATTGGGGCATAGCCGACAATGACATTCAGCGTGGCCTGTTTGACATTCACTCGACAGACCAAGATTCTCTCCGACGCCTGTTCCATTGAAATCCCGTTCGGTTTATCCTAAAGGACAAAAGAATACCTACACCTCCACGGTATAATCTGCTGTGGCCTGACCACTAAAATGACCATCTAGCCTTTACCAAGAGGCGAGCTTCCGTTATCGCCAGTACATCGAGTTTGTACCACCGACGAGCCCTTTGTCAGATATCTTCTACTATCTTACTCTCACCAGACAAAGAACAAATGTTCCAACATACAACATAGAACCTACCTCTTTTTCTGCTGACTGCTGGAATCACGGATTTCATAGCTCATAGTTATCTGCTGAATAGCAAGTAGAAACCGCCCTCTGCGTAGCTCATCTTTGCGCGAGAGGGAGAAATTTCATTCCCGCTAGCTAGGAAGTCAACCTCAC